AAAAAAAAAAAAAAAAATATATATATATATATATACACACACACACACACATATAAAATAAAATACCACACTCACCCAAGAGGAACTGCTTAAGAGATAAAACCACTTATATTATTTTCTATCTAAAACAACAAATTAGATATGTCAATTAACATACCTATACAAAACACAATTTAACCAAAAAGAAATCTCCAGATAGTGAAATTCACTATGCTGCAATATAATATATCCTCAAAGGAGCAGGAAACTTTTATGATGTAAAAAAAAATACAGGAACCCTAAGTATGACATTTGTTTAATCATGTAATTAAAAAGAATACTCATTTCCTGGGGAAGACTCAAATCTTAAAGATTTGGTGTATTGGTTCACTACTTTGCTTTTTATATATAACAATGCACTTCAGAAATGAGCAGTACAGTACTATGCAATGATTTTCATTGGTGGCTCTGCAAAATATGCCAGTTACAAAACTAAAATCTGAAATCTAATTCTAATGCACAGTTTAATCACCCGTGCCAATTTTGTAACAAAGCACCATTTAAATATCACAGTTTCTGAAATAAGCCATTGACCTTTCTACGGAGCAGAATTCAATAGACAACAAATAAGAGGGTAGAGTGCCTGATTAAGGTTCAGGTCCCATGGGGGATACACCCTGGTAAGAAACTACAGATATTTACTTCATGGGTTGCAAACTGGTCTTTGACTTCTTCAACATCATCAGAAATATCATCCTGCTCCTGGAAAGTGTCCTCGGCAGAAAGCAACCAGGTCAGCACTTCCTCCAGTGCTATCTGATAGCTGTCCAGATCCGTGTCAACCTCAGTGACAGTGCTGGGGGTTTCAGCTCGGGGGCTCTCACGCTCCTCCTCGGGCGCTGTGCTCTATAAAAACAAAGCCAAGAAAAACACACACATCATGAAAGCAAGAGGTGTTCAGCAAACTCACACTCACTGTACGGCGAACCCAAAGTAGACACTACTCTGTCTTAGGCACTAATCCAATCCTCAGGAGCCAAATGGGCACTGTCATGAATGAGTCATAAGCACTGAATAAGTGCACTAGGGTAGCAAAGAGTATAAAAGCAGCATGCACTCATGAGTTCTGTACTCAAGAAGATTCTAATATAGTTAGGACAGAGAAATAACCCACATGAATCACTTCTGAACAGAAATACAAAGCAGTTATTAGCAAAGTTGCAAATGCCATGGTCCCAACAAGGCATGATATTTGAGTTCAACGAAGGCTAAAACTGGCAGGAAAAGGTTCATAGAGAAGCTGGAGCATGTTAAGCCTTTAAGAATGGATGTAATTTAAAGAAAAAGAAAAGATGAGAACTCTGCTTTGACCCTTAGGTAAATTGCTTTTGCTGAAGTGCATTTTAGCATTACATTTTAGACACTAAAAGACAGTCACACAGGCTGTTGTGCTGATTGTATCTTTTTTAGGCAGTTGTCCTCTGGTTTATTTGATGGCCTTTTAGAGCTCATGGAATACATTTCTTTCAACTTCTTTCTAAACAACTGAGTATTCTCTTATACACATTAAGAGCTCATAACCAAGCGGACTCTCCCTAGTTCTTTTGTTACTTTTCAGAGCGAGACTTCTTTAAGACTTGCCTACATTCTGTCTTTAGTTTATCAACTCTCATGCATAATTTTTAAGTAGAATATTTCAAACATACAGAAATGTATGGAGAACAATATAAAAAATGCTCAAGTATTTAACAGCTACCATTTGTTAACATTCCCTTTAACTTGAACTTGCTATTTGCCCCATGACTCAACTGAAAAGGTTTTTGCCAATGTCACCAATATCCTTTCCATTGCCAAACAGACCTTTCCAGCATCATCTTCAGGATGACCATATAATTAAGCAAGAAACTAGAGTATTTTTTTATGGTAACTTTGTCTAAGCCAGAACTGTTCCAAGCAAGCCCAGAGAGCTGGTCACCCACGCTCCTTGCTTTAGCCCTTGATATCATTCCTCAGGGCTGAACAAACTCAGCTTCTGGAAGCTTCTTTCTCTGTTTCTGTGATACTGCCCTGGCTTCCTGCTGGTTCAGTAGCAGCTGCTCACCCATAAGTAATGAATCTCCTCAAAATTAAGTCCTTGGCTCTTTTTTTCTTTTTTCTGTATGCTTTATCTGAGTCATCTCATCGACTCCCCTTGGATTTAAAGAACCATCTAGAACCACCTAGGAGTCTGGATTTCAAACTCTTATAACCCACTATCTTCACATCCCCACTTCAGTGCCTCCTCAGCATATTAAACCATGTCCATATTCAAACCCTTCATTTTCTTCCAGAGCTTGTTCCTCCTCAGGCTTCTCCATCTCAGTAGATGGCCCCTCCCTGCAACAAATTCCTCCAGCCACAAACCTGGGAGCCAGTCTCTCTCTCTCTCCTTCACCTTCCACATTTAATAGGTACGCAATTCTGACCTTCCTTCAACACTTACCTCAAAGCCACCCAGACCTCTCCATTTCCACGACCACCTACATCCATCTTCTGGACTGGAATACGTGCTAACAAATGCCTTTACTTTCCTGTTTTCCCCCAGCCAACCCTCTCACCTCCACATTTCACAGTCCATTTCTCATGCAGCAGCCAGAATGATCTTCTGAAAATGTAATCCCATCTAAGACATCCCTGCTGAAAATCTTTCACTGGCTTTCCCAATGCTCTTAAGATATAATTTAAAATTCTTAACACAGTTTACAAAAATACTGTGATAGCAAGAAACTGAGAGAGACAGAAGGAGAGAGAGAGACTTGTATTTCAATAGATTAATCAAAAAAGACTTCTCTGAAAAGGCTCTATTTAAACTGAGGAAAAATGTGCAGCCTGCCATATAATGGTGGGTAGAGAAGCATTTAACAGAGAGGAGCCTGCATGTACAAGAATCTTGGGGAAAAAGAGGGAAAAGTTTACTCTAACTTCAGAGCAAAGTAACAGAGGTAGACCACGTCTTGTAAATTACAGAAGAAAATGAGGTCTTTAATTAGTATGAAGGCTGGAACAGAATGAAAACACACTCAAAAGACATTTTGGAGAAAGGCTTAAAGAATCCAGGAAAGTGAATATATGAGTTAAGAAATGAACCAATGAGCACCGAGTTGAAACAGTGGATAATTAAAAGACAGATGGTGCCAAAGACAGAGAAAGAAAAATGAGTTAAATTATGGACCAAAAATCCTAAAACTGTAGAGCTAAAATAACCCCTGGAGATCATTTAGCTCCAAATCTCTTTACTACAATGAGGAGAGCTAAGAAGCAGGAAAGTAAGTGACCAAAGGTCATTGAGCTAGACACCAGCATCCATGAGGTCCAGAAGGAAGGCACTATCTAAACACAAATCTTCAGAAGGTATTAATTGAAACACATGAGAAAACTTTCAACTGACAGTTATTTTAAGAGAAATGCAGGAATTAGTCACTGACCACCAGCGTATGTTTGTAGAAAGAACAGAGCAGAAGTCTGGCTATTAGGCGAGTAGCGGATGGCAGGCTATGTCACAGAGAAGATGATTAAAACTTGATCACATTTTACTTTTCAATTAATGTAATTCAGCCTCTAAGGCACTAATGAAAGCCTGCAAATGAAGAGGTTAGTGTTAACACACTTGCTCTTAATCAAATAGCAAATTTTTTCTGAAGTTCTTATCATGCCACCCTGAGCCCAAACAGAAGTGATTATTTTATCTGCACATCATGAAAAGTAAATGAAATCCCCTTTCCTTTTTAAGAGAGAAGGCCCTTAACTATAAGAACTAAAATATCTCCACTTTCTAACAAAATGCAATAAGGAAATGAATCTAAAACCCAGAAACAAACCCAGATCATCTGAGGCAACTAAAAAGGTACATCATTAATGCAGAATAACCACACTTTTAGGGGCAAATCTTCCTAGCATTTTTTTTATAATTATAGGAAATTAGGAGTTTTCCTCAGCATCACTTGATATTCACTACAAAAGAGAGCCCTGGGTTCACAATCAGGCCTCATTTCTCACTCCTTTCTCCTCAATACATTTTTTTCTTTTTCTATAAATCACACTATTTTTGAAATGAGGGAAATAAAAGGATTCCTATATATTACCCAAAGAAAATTTAAAATAATAAGTAAATTCTCTGACTCTCAGAAGAAGGAAAAAAAAGATGCTATGTCGATCCAAGACTAGTATCATAATATGGGAATTAAATAATATTTTTTAAGAAATCTGTTAAATGAGAATGCCAAAACAACTCAAGAGGAAAAATGGTAATAGTGAGAACTGTTACTTGTTGAGTGCTTATTAATGTCATTTTAGATACTTTGAATTCATTATCTTTATGAAGTGGGTGGTTACAGCCACATTTTGCAGACAAAACTGTGATTGAGAGTTTAAGGAACAACACAAAACAAGAAGCAACAGGATGAATTTAAGATCAGAGCCCAAGCTTTCCTTCTCTCTAAAATGTATTTCTTATAATTTTGAAATCTATGTGTATGTCTTGGTTGGTTGGCCATTAGAATGTTGAACCAAGTGACTTCTAAGTTTTCATCTAACTCTTAATATTCTCTGATCTTATGAATTATGAGGACTAGTTTTAACAGAATGAGATTAAATATGAATTGATTCAAACACGATAACTAAGGAAGAAAAGAAATTATGATTTTATTCATCTCTTTAAAAATTCATATATATCCTGACGAATGAAATCATTGTAATCCCTTCATGAAAAGCTCACCAAGTAGTTTACCATACATTACTCCTCCTAAAGGAAAGGGAAAATAAGACTTATGTTTTGATAGCCCTTGTGAGAATATAATGAAAAAAAATATTTTTTCAATGGCAAAAAAAGAAAGACAATTAGTACTTGGGAAAAAAAAAAAAAAAAGCTAGGCTGATACGAGAAAAACCCATCTTTAGCACATGATAGAAATAAAAGCTGGCAACTAGATGATGCAAAAACATAGATTTTCAGCATATAATACAGCAGTGTGATCAACAGTCCAGTTCTGCTGTGTGGAATAAGGTATTTTACTTCTTAATAACTCCATTGAGTCATGGTTTTCCACTACATGCATGTGACAGAATGGTAACTTCTAAACTGAACTTCTTATGCAAATGTAAGCTGAGAAACCAACATGTTCTCAGTCAAGGAAAAAACCCTCTGAAAGTGTTTTTATCTAGTACCTACAAGAAAACAAACATGGTGAGCCAAACACCTTAATAAAATGTTACCTGTGCCTGTATATTAATTGCTTCTTCTTCACATTCTTTCTTATATTTCCTGGGGAGTGTCTCAACCTCACGGATGGCATCTATGGAGACTTGCTGAGGTAGCACCTCAAACAAAGATGTTAAATACATAATTATGGATTTCTTGTCAGGAAGCTGAACGGCAACATCTAAAAGTGGAAGAACATAAGAACCAGCTTAAATTAGGTGTCCAAAATATGTGAACTGCTCAATATTAGATATAAAAAAACTCTCCTTAGTACCCATAAACAATACCTAATATATATAATCTTTGCAATACCACAGCTCAGTAAATTGCCACTTCATTATATATAAGACAAAGGGAAAAGGGATTACTTATTTCTGTTCAGTTTCTCATTTTCTTAAGTCTTCCCTAAAAGCCTCCCCAAAATGGTCAAAGATAAGCTATCATATGTTACTGTTTAAGATAAAGATGTAGACTTTATTCATATGATGAAAATAAGTCTAGAATTTAGTCCTGCAACATTTACAACTAAAGTCCTTACATCACATGCAAGAAGCTCACATAAAAACGCATTTTAATGGGCCTAACCAAATATTAAATTTATCTAATAATTAGGTTTTCTTAAAAGTTTAAGTCTTACTTTAATTCAGATTAACTATTATCCAGTGCTGTAGTTAAATTTCTACCTAAAGGATCTTACAAATTGCTAAGTACAAAAGTACTGTCAGTAATAAAATGACTTGCACCTATAATCCAAAAAGGAAAAGGTTCTTCAAGGCTAATAATTCACTTTAAAAAGGAAAAAGAACACTGCTTTTGAAGAATGCAAAACTGTAAAGCAAAATCACATTTGAAATTAAACACTGAACAATACCTTCAGGATCTAACAGCTTTTCAATTCCCAAATAAGTTTGAGCCTTGCTGAAGGCATGTTCAAGTCTCTCAATTGGTGACATTTTGACAACTTTATCCCAGCTGAAGAGATCAGGTCTGAAAACCATGCAAATAAAATGCAATAAAGATGGAATATGTGGAAATAAAATAGGCATTGTTATAATCTAATCAATTTTAGTTTTATTTTTATTTGTGAGGTTTTTTGACTTTATTTTTATATCCCAAAGCCTTGTCAAATATATACTTAAAATTAATTCACAAATATGAAAATAACAGATAATACATTTTAAGGATCTTGTATTGGCTAAATGTGACTGCTAATTTCTGTGGTAACCATTAAGACTAGAAGCAGTATACAATATTTCACAAAGAATAGAAGATGAAAAAGGGGAAAGAGAAATGAGCAGCTCACACTATGTGGTAAAAATGAACCTAAATATATAAATTATCACAATGAAGGTTAATGAACTAAATTCTTCAATTAAAAGATCAAGATTAGCAGAACAGAAAATCCAGCTCTAATCTGTTCTCTGGATATTCCTAAAACAAAAGCCTTGGAAGAGTTTCCCTCCAATCTTCCCCTTCCACGCTACTATTGTCTAGTACTGTATTTCATTTCTATCTTGATATTCATTTAATCCCACAAATTGGACATTATTGTTGCTTTGACTTATCCAAAAGTTGATCATTTTCTTTATTTTGTGTCTGTTCTTGCATGTTAGAGCCACCCACCTTCTAAGATGCTCTTCACATATTTCCCTGCCTGAATTCATCTCCCATTACTGCCCCACTCAGGTCACTGCAGCCAGTGGCCTCTCCTATGCAGTGACCTCTCCTATGCCTCCTCCACTCTCGTCTGATTATTTTCCTTCAGTGTGCGTACTACTTCTATGTACTATACAACTTTGTTATTGTTTGTCTCCCTCTGTTGCAACATACGCTCCAATAGAACTAAGATTTTTGCCTGTTTCGTTCTCTGCTGTATACCCTGTGTCTAGCACATAAAAGGCACCCCACGCATATTTGTCGAATCAATTAATTAATAAATGGAAAAGCATATTGGCTAAAATTCTAGTTTCTTGATAAAATCCCATCTAGAAAGTTGGGCAACCTCCTTAAACTAGCAAAGGAGGAGTGGGTGAATACTAGCAGGGAGGGATTCTTTAACCTCATAAAACGCATACCAAAAAAGCTACAAAAAAAAAAAATCATTCTATGGTAAAACACTAAAAGCACTCCTTTTGTTATCAACAACAAAACATTCTACCCACTATCACCAATTCAAATCAACATTGCATTGAAGAACAAGGCACAATAGGAACAAAAAATAAAATAGAAGAAATAAAAGGATCATAATTCTAGGACATTCTAACCCCTCCTCCCCCAAAAAACCTACGATGTCCAGAGACAAATTTACTAAAATTTGTAAGAACTGATTAAGTTTCCTGATATAAGATTTAGAAAAGTCTATTGCACTTTTATATACCAGCATAAAACACAGAGGAAATGAAACTTGAGAAAAGTAATCATTTACAACAGCAATAAAACATAAAAAATTTAGCCTTTGGCATTTAAAACCCTGATCCATGTAGAATGAATGAATGAATGAATGAACGAATGAATGAATGAATTTATTTTAGTGTGGTGAAGATTCAACACATTTATTTCCGTATGTGTAATCAATTGTCCATACCATCTATTAATCTGCAATATCAGCTCAAGCGTAAATCAGATTTTCCTATGTAATGGAGCAATTTCCGAGTTCTTAAATTTATTAGGTTGTACCATCTGAAAATACCATTCTTATATAGCAAAAACACTCACGTATTGGCAATTTCATATGGTCTGGCTTATATTGGCATGTGCATTGACAGTACTGCATAGTCTTAATTAATATAGCTTCATAGTTAGTTTTGGTTTCTTTTTGGAAAGTATTTCAGCCTGGTTCTTCTTCAGAAGTCTACTTACTGGCTATTCTTGGGCCTTATCTTTTACATAATTAGAATCTGTTCACAAGTTTCATTAAAGATAATTTGGCTGTTTTTAATTGGGAGTGCACTGAATTTAGAGTTTTACTCTTGGTATGAGAAGAAAAGCTAACAGGATTTTTTGTATACATTACCACTTAGTGCTGAATGAGTGGGATTGAACTATGTGAGTTATTTCATATTTTTTAAACTCATAAATATGCAGGAGAAACTATGGACCTTGCATGGTGGCATTTAAGTCCTAAGGAAATAAAGACTTGAAGGGCAGTTTTCTTCCATGATATTTCTTTTCTTAAGGTTATGGTAGAGCATGTGCAGAAAGGAGAGCCATGAGACTGAAAAAGGGGCTTCATGAGTAGCGGTAGCAGCAAAGGGACAGAGAGGAGACACGAATTTGTAAAGCCCACTTCCAGGTAGAGTAATGTCTCACTTATGTCGGTGGAGGACAGCATTAAAGGCGAGTCCATCTGTCCAGCTGGTGGTGAAGTTGAGGACATTGACTTGGCTATAGGGCCTGGTGGTCTGACGCACCCAGCTCAGCAGGATCTTCTCGCTGTTCGTCTGCTGCAGGTCTGACATGACATCCTTCATGACATCTTTCACCTATGTAAGAGAAACCAGTCCTGTCTATAACTAACACAGTTATTTACTTCAATGAAGTCCTTCAAAAAGCCATATTACACTAATTAACCATTATGGATTTGGTAAATGGCATTCATTTTACTTCAGATTTTTCTGTAGATAATGGAACAATAAATTTTAACAGTGATTATTTTGGGGGACTAGAATTTGAAGTGATTTTTACCTCACTTTTATATATTACCATATTTTCTATATCTTAAACTATACTTGTACTATGTTTGGTTACAATGAACATAACTTTCAGAGTCATAGAAAGTCACATTTTAACACTATGTGTTTACAAAGACCTTTTCAATTAAAAAAAATTTATTTTCTACAAAAAAATAAGAATGGTAGGTACTTTTTTTCCTATGCCAGGAAAAAAGGGCATTTTGTCACCTCTTCCATTCAAAATTGTAATGAATTATGTTCCCTAAAATTAATATGCTGAAGTTTTAACCCTTAGTACTTCAGAGAGGGGCTCTATTTGGAAATGAGGTCACTGCAGATGTCACTAGTGAGAATGAGGTGACTGGTGTCCTTACAAAAAGAAAAAAATTGATACAGGCACACAGGGAGAACATCATGTGAATACTGGAGCTATGTATCACAAGCCAAGGAACCGCAAAGATTGCAGACAAACCACCAGAATTTGGCGGCAAGGCCTGGAGCAGAGTGTCCCTCAAAGCCCTTGGGAGAAACCAACCCTGCTGATGCCTTGATCTTGGACTTCCAGCCTCCAGAAATGGGAGACAACAAATTTCTGGTGTTCAAGCCAAGCAGCTTGTGGTACTTGGTTACGGCAGCCCTAAGAAACCAAAAGACAAACAATACATTTTCCATTTCTGTCAAAAAGTGGTCGGAAATGTCCCCACCTGCCAGTGCAAAATGATGCTCCAAAGTAATCCCAAAGTCAGTTTGTGATTTCCATCCACAATGTCAGTTCCTCCTATATTTACTAATTCCACCTATTAACTCTTTATAAAAAAAAAAAAAAAAAAAAAACTTTTAAGACAATTTCTTCACAGAACTCCAGGGTTTTTTAAGCACATTTGGACAGCAGTGTAAGTGAGAGATAAGAGAAATTTCACTGTAGAGAATCAGGTAAACCTAAATCTCAAAAATGTATTATTTATATCACAGGTCAATATAGCCATCGGAAAAAAGCACATGACTGTTCCTTCACTCACAGAAAAGGTTCAATATCTCCCATAACAAAAAATGTCTGCAAGAATCAGGGGATGCCAATGCATCAAGCAGCTGGCAAGTTTCACAATAAATAATGCTGATGGCAGCACAGACCCCCAAAACTCACATGACAAGCTTACATTGTTCTGATGTAAAACCTGCAGCACTCTGTTGACGTTATTTAAGGCATGTACCCTTGTGGAACCACGCTCCTTTGGCTGGAAAACAAAACACAAAAGCAGGTAAAACTGATTGTCCCTCCATATGCCTGGCAAACACTAACATTGGGAGGTACGTAAAACAGCAGCTCAGTATGCAGGGCCCTCAGAGCCAGGAGCTCTGGCTGATGTCTCAGGTCACCGCCCTGGAGGCTGGTGTTTATAGTACGCAAATCCCTCAACTAACAACATCTTAAGATACCAGTTCCCTAACTTGCGTGCACATTGAAATCTCCTAGGCAGCTTCACAAAACAACAATGCCTGTGTCCAACCCTACCCCAGAAGACTGTGGCTGAATGGGTCTGGGGTGTGGTTTGGACTTGGGATTTTTATTTATTTATTTTCATTTTTATTTATTAATTTATTTTTGAGACCGAGTTTCGCTCTTGTTGCCCAGGCTGGGGTGCAATGGCGCGATCTTGGCTCACCACAGCCTCCACCTCCCAGGTTCAAGTGACTCTCCTGCCTCAACTTCCCAAGTAGCTGGGATTACAGGCATGCGCCACCACACCCAGCTAATTTTGTATTTTTTTTAGTAGAGCCTGGGTTTCTCCATGTTGGTCAGGCTGGTCTCGAACTCCCAACATCAGGTGATCTGCCCACCTCAGCCTCCCAAAGTGCTGGGATTACAGGCATAAGCCACCGCACTCAGCCCTGGACTTGGGATTTTTAAAAGATTGCCCCATAGTTCTAATGTGCAGACAAGTTTTGAAACCAGTGCACTATGAACAAAGCTTCCCTTCTCTCAATTGGTCTGGCTGCAGAAAGATTTTAGAGTTGTCTCCTCTTTTTTCTGCACAGACGTGAACAGAGCAAGGAGGATTCAGAGGCACTATCCCAGGCTCCAGGTGGCATTACAAGAGCCCTGGGAAGGCAGGGAATCCCCATCTGGGGAAAGATACCCTTCACAGCTTCTTTCTACTTCACTGGCCAGGGATCTTATCTGAGAGAGGGATCAGCCTGTCTAACAGTTGTCTACCCACCACCTGGAAGGCAAAAGGGAGAAAATGACACCCCAGACTTTGCAAGAAAGAAAGTCATCTTCAGGAGTGCATCTCTCTATATTGTGATGGTAATTCGATCTCTAGTGTTAACATTTGGACCCATACATGCATCCTCTTCATTGGCAGTTTTTTCTGCATGAGTATGGAGTAACTTACATTAAAATGATAGAGTTGTATTTAAAAAATAAACAAAATTTAATCGCAAAAATCTAAATTAAAAATAGATGTCAAGCTTTTAACAACATTTTTCCCCCCCCTTTTTTTTTTTTTTCTGGAGACAGTCTCGCTCTGTCGCCCAGACTAGAGTGCAGTGGCGCAATCTCGGCTCGCTGCAACTTCCGCCTCCTGGGTTCAGCAATTTTCCTGGCTCAGCCTTCTGAGTAGCTAGGACTACAGGCACACAACATCACGCCTGGCTAATTTTTTGTATTTTAGTAGAGACGGGGTTTCACTGTGTTGCCCAGGCTGGTCTCGAACTCCTGAGCTCAGGCAATCCACCCGCCTCAGCCTCCCTAAGTGCTGGGATTATAGGCATGAGCCACTGCACCTGGCCTTAATAACTACTTTTAAAAATATTTAACATTTAAATGTGTTTGTCTCTAGACTCTGGTGTTCAAAACATTGTGCCTATATAAATCCTATAAATCCATTCTTTTTTGTAATTCTCTCACCCTGGGCTATCTCCGAGCAATAAACATTTAAGGTAATTTTATCTTCAATAAAAACAGAGCCCTCAGAAGAGCCAAAATGTTGCTCTAATTCACTAAACCATTTTGTTAAAAATGTTTCCAATTTCAGCCTTTACTTTTGAATGTAAAGTAAAATGGACACTTTCACTTTAATGGGTACCCACAGTGGGTCATCAAGTATCAGTAATGACAGGAGACTCCATAGTTTATAAAGGTGACTTGCTCACCAATGATGTTCCTGTGAGGCCTTCTAGAAGATCCAGTAGCTTCCTTCCATCTTTGAGGTCTGTGAACATATCATTGATGGGTGGTTTCCCACTCTGTAAAAGAAAAAAATAAACAAATAAATAAAATATGGGGTATGACAACAGCAGAAACTTTATATATACCTGGCAAATAAATGAGTGGCTTCATTTTTTGTTCAATTAAAATGTTCCGGATAATATGCAGACTATCCAAATTTGTCTTTTATAGAAAGAACAAGTACAAATACAGAACATTTTGAAATCTCATAAATAATATTTTAAGCTGAAATAAACTGCATTTTTCCTAGGTCTTTGGAGATGGTGGCTCATGTCTGTAATTCCAGCGCTTGGGAAACCGAGACAAGCTCAAAAGTTCGAGATCAGCCTGGCCAACATGGTAAAACCTTGTCTCTGGCAAAAATACAAAAATTAGTCAGGCATGGTGATGCGCCCCTGTAATCCCAGCTACTTGGGAGGTAGAGGCAGGAGAATTGCTTGAACCTGGGAAGTGGAGGTTGCAGTGAACCGAGATCATGCCACTGTACTCCAGCCTAGGCAACAGAGCAAGACT